CTGACGTGACCGCTGCCGGATGCCCTCAGCGCCGCGAGCGCGTCGGAGACTGTGGCGGACTCCGCCACGCACGTGAGCTCCGGCTTCCCTAAGCACAATTCCGATATATCTCCATTCAGAAACCTCACTGCCATACAATATCCCGATCTTCTGAGTAGAAAATTCTCCGGCGAGAGGCTATTGTGCGCCCAACGATATTGAGAGAGAAAGGGAAAAACCGTGTGTGTATATATATATATATAGAAAGAGGAGAGAAGATTTTGATAGCGGCGGGTCGAGAATTTTGGGGGTACGAAAATTCTGGTTTGCGATTGGCTGACGAATTTTATATGTATATATAATAATTACTTTAGTAGAATCATAGTTTGATTATGAATGTGAATATTTTTATTGTACGATTAATATCACATATTTTAGAAAAATAAGTTATAATATAAATATGAGATTTGATCATATAATTAAGTATGTACTTCGATAATATAATTAAGGGCAAAAATTCAATTTTGGTCCGCTAACTTGTCCATTGTCTACTTTTGGTCCACTAACTTGTCCCTCATCAAAAATGGTCCATTATGTTACATTTTTCATCAATTTTAGTACACTACTCCAGTTGGCGGGATTACGAGATGATGTGGACCGAGATTGGAACTACGTGGAGGGATAAGATGTTGACGTGGTAGGACAAAAAACTGATTTGACATCTCGTAATTCCGGGCCACGGGATTAGCGTACTAAAACTGATGAAAAGTGTAACATAATGGACCTTTTTTGATGAGGGACAAGTTAGTGTACCAAAAGTGGACAATGGACAAATTAGCGGACCAAAATTAGATTTTTGCCTATAATTAAGTATGTATTTACGGAAGATGTTACGGTCCCGTTACGTAACCATTTCGTCCGAGGGTTTGTAACCATAGATCAACTATCTATGACGCTTACATGATGATCTAATGATTACAAATACCGACGGAATAGTTCTGTAACGGCCAACGGGACCTTCGCATTTCCCTGTATTTGCATATGGTTAATATGCCATGAGAATTACATGCATTGCGATTCTATCTACATTGTGATTACCAGTCTAATTTTATTCGTTTTTAGTTATTTTATGAACTATATAGTCTATGAATCTATCGATTTGATGACCGGTTAATTTATTATTATTATTATTTTTTTTTTTTATTATTATTATTATTATTATTATTATTATTATTATTATTATTATTAATTTGAAAATAAATTTAATTGTTGACAATTGACAATGGTGTAAGTCAAGTGAAGAAGAACCTGAATGGCGTTAACCCAATATAAGCCAGAATAAATTGCCTTCACTAATAAGATTAAAACTAATTAAATGAACTTAATGGAGTGTAAGTTTCATTGCATACCATATGTTTTCTATCTGTATTAACACTAACTTAATACTCACATAATATTAAACCTACTAAACCAAACCATGTATTTTTCCTCATTACTAAATAAATTACTATTAATATTGCTATTTATAATTATCAGAATTAGTATGAAAAAGAAATATGATTGAGTAGCTTCGTTCTTCTTCGTATAGTTTGAGTTCACCCCAATAAAAATTAAAGTTTGTATTTATTCAAATATTACTCTATTCTGATACGAGCTATGTCATATTAGTATAATTTGGAGCTGATTTTGATAAATTATCTTATATATGTATTTATTGACACATTCTAAAATACACGGGTGTTTGTTGAAAAATTATTCTTAAATTTTAAATTAATGAGAAAACTATATTAAATTTAGTTTACTTTTTTTGTTTTAAAAAAAAAATATATTACGATATATTTTAGAATGATATGTGTTACTTATGACTTACAAGTGTTATATTATAATAGTTTTTATAACTTATATCATATAACTACTTGAAAAATAAATATATTAGTTGATAAATAATTTTATTTTTCTAATTAATATTAACAATAATTTTATTATTGTTATAAAGATAAATATAAATTATTTTTTATATACATACAATATGGATGTTAAATCGAAGCTCATCAAAAGAAGATTAATTTGATATATTACATATGTAAAACTGATTAAAAATACAAAAGTTATTAACTTTTAAAATATATATACAATTTAATCTATATCTATATAATGGACCAATCATTATTGCCATAATTGGCATGATTTTGGGCGGGAAAATTTTTCGTCTATATTTGGCATTTAATTAATATTTATTTATTAGCAGGACTTGTACATGAAAAACATTATTAATTTTTATACATTCAATAACTATTACTCATTAACTACAAATTGGCTTAAATTAAAATTTTGACCGTAGATTTATTAGATATATTTTCAATAAGATCTTATATTAATTTAATAGTAATTTATTGACACAATTCAAAAAATTATTATGGAAATTGATTTGGTTAAATATATTATCATCTATGGTTGTAGGCATTAATTTAACTAATTAAATTCACTATTCAGATGTAGTTAAGATACTTAATAAAATAATCAGAACAACTATGTTTAATAAAATATTAATAAAAGTTTCAAAAATGTAGTCAATTTAACCATAAAAAAAGTATATCTCCATTGAATATATCATATGCAATGATAATACTATTAAAATTTA